ACTTTTATTTACCATTAAAATCCTTTTTTTTGTATATCTGCCGAGTTGAGTCCCTGTTCTGCACTCTGGGTTCGCTCCTAACCGCAAACCATGACAATATTTTAATACATAGAAGTGAACTGCATACTTTCATATATTCAGTGCTTGGCAATTAAAGGAGTAGCATTATCTAACTTGTTTTTTAGTAAAAGAGAATCATGACTGGGAGGTGGTTGTTGCATGCCGGGGTGACAGTTAGAGACCCGCCCTGATAACAGGAGAGAGCTGGGTTGTCAGTGGGATGCAGAGAGGCATAGGATGGACTCAATGTCATGACAACAGTACACGTGACTAATGGTCATCCAATAGAAAGAAGAACCTCCTCTGAAAGGGCCAGTCTGAAGAAGGTTTTATAACACCTTGCAACCGGAAGAAGACTCAGGCAATTATGGGTGAGCAGCTCATTCTGACTTAAGGCGAAGTACTCTGATTGTCTCCCAAAAATGCATTTTTGGTATTTGTAATATTTTAACTTTGGTGTTTGGTATTTGTAATACTTTAATTTTGGTGTTTGGTATTTGTAATACTTTAACTTTGGTGTTTGGTATTTGTAATACTTTAATTTTGATGATTGGTCTCTGTAATGTTTTAACTTGATGTGTATTAAATTCTCTTAAACTAAGGTGAAGTCTCCTGCCTGGTACCTACTCGATCAACTAACTCGTACCTCAACACATGATTGCTGCTGTTTTTAAGGAGTCACTGTGTGCCATTTCTCTTTCAGAGTTCACTTCTGCCAATGAAACCTGTGCAGAACTGTCATTGCTGCATAACCAGATTTAAAATGCTTGGCCCAAATGCAAACAAGGTCTTCCCAAGAACCTTCATATTTTCAGGTACGAGACGAGCTGTCAGTTCATGGTTCACCGATAATGAGAGGGACTGATCGACTAGTTGTTCCTGTTTCATTATGTGTGAGAGTTGTTGATTTAGCACATAAGGGACACCAAGGAATAGTTTGTACCAAGCAGAGACTGCGTGAACTGTTCTGGTGGCCACAACTTAACAAACTTTTACATTCTGTCATTGCTTCCTGTGTTAACTGCCAGTTCAGTGATAAGGTAGCTATAACCGCTCATGCACTTACACCAGTTGAAGTGCTCAGTAAACCATGGAAAAAAGTTGCATTAGATATTACAGGCCCATTTGAAAATGCTACATGGGACTGCCGTCATGCTATTGTACTTACAGATTACTACAGCAAATGGCCTGAGGTTGCATTCGCCTCTAATGTAACTACAGATGTCATCATTTGCTTTCTAGTCACTATTCAGTAGGAAAGGTAATCAATGTACCTTGTCTCAGATAACGGTTTTCAGTTTACTTCTCATGCATTCACTAACTTTCTGAGAGAAAGGGAGATACAGCAATTAAGGTCTAGTGTATACTATCCCAAAGCCAATGGTGCTGTAGAGAGATTTAACAGAGTACGTAAGGACAGCATACAGACATGCGAAAGAAGTCACAATTCATGGAAAGAAGCTGTAACAGAATTCCTGCACAACTAATGTAGTGGCTAATACTACATTGAATACTTTTGGGTTCATTAAATAAAACAGGATTCTGGGTTCTGATTGACTGCAAAATGGGGTTTTTATTTTGAAGCTTTATCTCTAAGGTGGAACAGCTAAAATACCTGGAGACCTCAAAAACAGAACCACTTCTGATGGGGACGTTATCAGAGTTTTTTATAAACTTCTGAAATAGCACACGAACATGATAAAAACAGTTCTGCTGGGAAACAGTTTTATATAAACACTTGATCTTGCGCCCAGAAATTCCTGGTAATTTTAGATACAGATAAACAAATCATTAGCTTGTTATTGCCAGATGTTTTCCAGAGTCTCTGATGCACACAATGATTTTCCTATGAGCACATTTTTTCAGGTCAGTCTGACATAAAACATCTGTTTAAAAACAAGTTCTGTTACAGGTCCTTGTAAGTTAAAATACATATTTTCTTGGGCCTTATATAAGATGATTGTTGAAATCAAATAAGAACTCTTTTTTCATTCAACATTTATTTATAAAGGTAAATCCTGTTGAGCCTCGAGGACTCATTTACAAGAGAGTCCTGATTTCAACAAAGAATGATGACAACAATGGACAACAGCGACAACAATAAACAGTTATAAAAAGTCATACAAATTTTTTAAATTTTTTTTAACAAATAGGATGGCTAAAAAAAAAAGAAAAGTAACAAAAAACAGCTAGATTATAAGGTGAATGTAGAGAACTAAAAACAGGAACATGTCTGCATTGGTCCCAGCCAGGAGTCCAACAGATTCTTAAAACCACTTATAGAGAGGTCAAGGTCGAGAGCTTCAAATCTTTTTGCAAGATATTCCAGGAAACAGGAGCGGAGTAGGAGAAGGCCCTTTTGCCTAGTTCAGTCCGCACTGAGGGAACACTGCAGGTAATAATGTCCTGAGAGTGCACGCTGTAGCTGCACTCACGCAGAGACATGTAGGAGGAGATGTATGAAGGCAGCAGACCAAGAAGTGATTTAAAGATGAAAATGTACTAGTGAGAGAGTCTGTGTGAAGTTAATGATGTCCAGTGAACCAGTGAATACAGGGTGCAGTGGTGGGTACGATAATCATAGCCAGTTATGAATCTTAGTGCACCGTGATAGACAGCATCCAACATTTGCAGGGTTTTTGTAGGAGCGTTCATGTAAATAATGTCACCGTAATCAATGGAGGGAAGGAAGGTCACGGATACAGTTTCCTAGCATTCAGAGTTAGTGTAGCCTCTCAATGACGACTCAGTCACGGCTTTTTTATTTGAAATGGGCGCTTTAATGAATGCCGTGAAAACTACAAAAATAAGACAGAAAATACAGAAATAAACACAAAGCTTCAGGTGCTGTACCGAGCGGAGAGTGAAGCATGCTTTATCAAAGGTGTGTACCTCGTGGCCGCTCGTCATTAAAGAGGTCCTAGACAAATGTTTTTCATCTTGTGTGGTCTAAATAAACATATAAAGCAATCAGAACACCATAACCGACAAATTTACAACGTATTACGACAGTTATAAATACCTTTACAGTTAGCAAACTAATCAGAGCTGCCGCCCACCTCTCGTGTCTTCAGGTAACTGTAGCGGGCACAGCAGATCTTGCCACTCCCTTCCATTCACACAAATCTCACGATAATGGTACAACAAAATAGTCCTTCATGACAGAATAAATGCATGCTATACAAAAATAAAACATACTTCACAGCATGAACTAAACAAACTAAAAACAAAATATTCTAACCACTGAAAACAAATATGAACCCTTTTAAAACATGAATCAATCATTGTGGTGACACTTACAGTTAGACAGGATCTGTTTCTGAAAAAGAAACCCAGTTTAACTTTCAGTTTCTTTACCAAGTTTTCCATATAAGAATTCTAAATAAGAGTAAATACATAAATAAGAACTCTTAACAGAGACACCAGGAATAATGTGTTTAAATTTAAGTTAAAATGAGACAGTTTATGCACAAGCTTTGTATTTTTTTGCTATTTTGTACCTGCCTGTGTAAGGATGGCACCTTTTGCTGTTTCTGTTTGTGTCTGTGTTTCCTCGTCAGTTTAATTGTTGCCACCTTTGTCTCGTCACACCTGCTGTTTGTAATCACGTCTTGTCTTGTCCTTGTATATAAACCTCCTGTCCTGTGTTGTTCCTTTGTCGGGTCGTATTCGTTGGGTCTCTGTGTTCTCCTGCGTCTCCCCTGAGCTTTCCTGAGTCCTCCCTGAGTTTCCCTTTGAGCCATCCGTCTTTATGTAAGTTTTGCTGCCACGTCAGCTGTTTGTTTTGTTCTTCATTTATTATTAAAATACTTATTTTTGTAATCTGCCGAGTTTGAGTCCTGTCTGCATATTGGGTTCGTTCCTGTCCAACAAATCCTGACAGCCTGAGCCTGCTGTGCCTGCCATTTACTCTAGCATACAGTATATATTAACCCAAAAAAGTTCAATCTGGTCCGCTGGACATATTATATTATAGTATAATATATATTAACATTACAGACTAAGTATTAGTTTAAGTTTTTTTTTGTTTTTTTTTAAACAGTGTTTATTCTACTACTCTCTGAATCTGTTATTATGGAATCATGTTATTTATTTGCATTCATGTTTGTTTTTTTAAATTTCAGTCTAATACCACAATTTGTACATAAATTTTATATTGTTGTCTGTATAAAATAAATAATTAAATACTAAATGTTCTGATCAGTTAATTACTTTTTTAGGTCAAGGTTCTTTATTGTCATTTACATCACATGTGGTACATGAGGTGGAATGAAACTATGTACACAGGGTCCCAGTTACATCCAACAAAAGTACAACTTGTAAAGAAAAACAGTAATAAGATCCAAGAAATGAACTAAGAAATATGCTAAACTAAAACAATGTGCCAACAAGAGCAGCACAAACAAAAGTGAGCAGATGAGGATGAATGAACATAGCAACATGAAATAGATCAGCAGCATGGATAAATATTTTAATCTTAGATTTTTAGGGATGGCGCCATCTAGTGGGCCTTCCCCTGTCTGTTCTCCCTTGTGTCTCTGCTTTGATTGTCTGATTATCATCACCTGTGTGTCATGTTCTGTTTGTGTATTTAAAGTCTGTCTGTTAGTCCTGTCAGTGTCAGTTCGTCGTTGGGTCTTCCTTGTCATGTCCTGCCAGTCTGGTCCTGTTTGATCTCATCCTGAATCTGTTTTGTAAGTTTGCTGCCATGTCAGTCTTTTGATTTATTATTATTAAAAGTATTTTATTTTATACGTCTGCCTCCTGAGTCCTGCCTGCGCAACTGGGTTCTCTCTTGTCCTGACCTGCCTTGAAACCCTGACTGTACGAACTGACCATACCTGAACCCAGCAGGCAGGCTCACTCAGACTCTGCTCACCTGTTTTTGACCAAGCTTGTCCAGATGGAGGGAGGTGCGATCCGGTGCGGTGCTTTTTGGACTAGACCCGTCCTGGGAAGCCGCGGCCAGGCAGTTTAAGTTCTGCCTTCGCCTCTCCTACTGCAGGAGGAGAGACGAAGATATCAGCTCCAGAAGAACTACACAGCACCCAGGTCCAGTCCCTTCTACTCACCAGTCTCCTCTGGGTGGACGTTGGGGGAGGACGCCGAGTCAGAGGACGAACTCTGGTACGCCCCTGTACACCACCCACATCGTCGCCAGATGGGAAAGAAAAGATGCAACCGGAACCGGTCTGCTGCTCTTCCGCCCACATCACCTGCAAGTCCAGCTCCTCGCACTCGGCCCAGCGAGGCTGAGTTTTTTGGTTCCGCCTCCTCCTGGTCCCAGCCTCCAGCCTGCTCTCCTCAGCCAGAACCTGCGAAACCAGGGAGAATTTCGCAGGGGGGGGAGCAGTCATCTCCCCGTTCGTCTGTGGAGTAGACGAAGGGGGGTCAGCCCGGGGAGCGTGTTGGGCAATCGCTTCCTGCTCCTATTGAGGATGACCAGATCCCTGAGCTGCCTTCTGTAGAGGACCAGGTGGCTGATCCTCTCATCAGAGGCTCCATAATTATTCTCAGAATCACTCCAAGAGACAGAGTTAAAACTAGATGACGCCTGGTGGACCAACTCCTAGAGATCTTCATCTCCCAGCCTGACCTGCTCAGCACATCGGTTCATTAGGTGATCTTTCAATTTGCCATGAAATTAAAAACTGAACTTGATCCTATTTTTGTTTCCACGCATACTGACTCAACCGAAGAGTCTGGGAGCCTCTTGCGGGGGGGTGGGGGTGGGGGGGTAGGGGTGAGTACCCGAGCCCCCACCTACCTGTGGGACTAAAGGGCTCGGAGCCTGCAGCCAGCCCAGACCCTGCAGCAGCCAGCCCAGAGCCTGCAGGTTGTCCGGAATCTGCAGCCCGACCAGAGTCTGCAGGTAGTCTGGAATCTGCAGCCCGACCAGAGTCTGCAGGTAGTCCGGAACTTGCAGCCCGACCAGAGTCTGCAGGTAGTCCGGAACCTGCAGCCCGACCAGAGACTGCATGTTGTCCGGAACCTGCAGCCCGACCAGAGTCTGCATGTTGT